TTTTAAATGGTGTTTTTACCAGATTCTTGATTGACAATATTTTTTCTTCATCATTTTTAAAACATGGCACCCTGTTCCCTTCGGACCTACAAGGTCTCTGTGATGTTCCAGGTTACCACAGTAATTGATCTTTTCTATCTTGCTCCTTTCAAGATATCCTCTTGGTTTTCAAGTTTCAATAGTGTATGTATCTGGAAGTGGATCTCTTTGTGTTTAGCCTTCTAGGGGCTCTCTGAACATCCTGAATAGACAGATTAATATCTTTGGTTAAACTGAGGAAGTGCCTGGCCACTCTTCCTTCCTTGTTCTCTCCCTTTCCCTCTGTCCTCTCCTTCCATTGACACAACGGGTGCACACTTCACATTATTCCATGGGTCTCTGAAGAATGCTCCTTTTTCTTCATTGGTTCTGTTCTTCAAAACAAATCATTTCTACTAACTCAGATTCAAGGTCTTTGATTCTTCAGCTTCCTCAAATCTACTGAAACCCTCAGTGAGTTTTTCTTGCCATTTATTATACTTGTCAGCTCCAGAATTCATTTGCATCCTTTATATAATTTTCTATACCTTCACTGATATTCTCTACTTGTCCATACATCATTCCCTCGATGTATTATTCTGTTCAGCATTTCCCCATTGCTCCTTTTAGTTCCTTGGGCACACTTGAAGACAGCTGACTTAAATTCCTTGTCCAATTTCACGACTTCCTCAAAGATTTTCTCTATTAATTTCTTCTGTGAATGTTCCTTTACATACTTCATAAATTTCTGTGGAAAACTGGACAATCTATAATTCTGGAAATAAGATGTTTAGATATTTTCTCCCACTTCTGTGTTAGTTTTGTAGCTTTCTATACACTATAGCTGTTTAGTGGTTTTTCTAAGTTTTTCAAGTTTTGTAAGGAGCATATTCTCTGTCAAGTATAATCTCTTAAGTCTCCCTTCCGTTAGCTTGTATTCAGCCAGGCATTTGTTCTGACAGACATTTCTTTGAATATGAGGAAGGGGAGAGGGAAGAAACAAAATAAAACCTCTCGGTGTTTGCAGATTGGTGCTACACTCCAGGTCACCTTCAGGAACTAGCAAAGGGCTAAGGCCATTTACAACTTTGCAGTAGCCTTTACTTCTACTTATACTGAACCCAGAGATCCACCAAAGACCAAAGAACTTCTCAGGTCTTTTCTGACATTCCTCCAGTTCTCAACCTGCATGTGACTCTCAAAAATTCCCCAGCCTGCACAGGTGCTTTTGAATAACCAAATTTCTCAAAGACATTCTCTCCCAAGTTTTTTTCTGCCTGGCATTTGACATTCTAGTGTCAGGATTAGCCTGGTCATTAAGCTACCAAACACTTGAGAAATGCCTGCTGGTTTTCTGCTTTTCTGTACTGAGTTCCAAGTGGATTAAACAAAATCTTGGGTCAGTGCCTCAAGTCATTCACAGACTGGCTAGATGGACATACATCATTCTTATTAAATAAATCTGTTCTGCAAACAAATGTAGACTGTCACCTTCAAGACTTACTGGAGAGGGTCTGGGTCCAGGGCAACTAACTGCAGGAAAAAGGAAAAAACACTATATGCCAGTTTTTAAGTTACCTTTTCCTGGATTCAGCAATTGCATGGCTGCCATAAACCTGAGTATTTTCCAGAGGTCTAACCAAAACGGTTTTAATGGTTTCTGCTTGATATTCAATAGTTCTGTGGAAGGACAAGCAAATGGTACTACCTACTATGCCCTTCTCACTGACACTCCACTTAGTTCTCAACTATACAATTAATATATCAGAAATAAACTCTGCTAAGTCCAAATGCCATGGTTAAAACAATTTTTAAATAAGCTAAGACCTATATTATGTTATCAAACATACCCTGCAAATTATACCTAATTTACCAGGCCATTTGGGGTTCTTTTTTCCAAAAACTAAAGCTAAAGTTTTTCTTCTTTTCTAGAACTAGTATTTTCTCCACCATGCCACCATCACAAGCATTAAAGCTTTTTAATAATTTTTCAAGTCAATGGAGAAATAACAAGTCTTTTCAACAAATTATACTGAATAACTTGATACTCATGTAAAAAAAAGTGGACCCCTGTCTCAGAGCATACAAAAACTACTATTTGAATATGAACAAACGACCTAAATGTAAGATTGATTAAAATCATAAAGAAGACAAGTTATTGTGAAGTTGGGTTGACCAATTGTTTCTTTGATACAACTCCAGAAACATAAGCAACAATGGAAAAAAGAGATGAACTGCACTTCATGAAAATTTTAAAAACATTTATGTATCAGAGGATATTATCATAAAGTAAAAATACAGCCCAGAGAATGGGAGAGAAAATCTGAAATCGTAAATCATAAAACAAGGGACTTAATTCAGAAAATCCAAAGAATTCTTACAACTCAGCAACCAAAAGATAGTCAGTTAAAAATTGGGTGAAGAAAGTCAGGTATGGTGGCACACTACTGTAATCCCAGCTATTCAGAAGGCAGAGGCAGGAGAATCCCAAGTTCAAGGCCAACCTGGGCAACTTAGCAAGACTCTGTCTCAAAATAAAAAATAAAAAAGGCTGGAGATGTGGACTGAGGTAGAACACTGCAGGTTCAATTCCCAGTACCATGTGGAAAAAAATTTTTAAAAAGTGGGTGAAGGATCTGAACCAAAGATACACAAGTAGCCAATAAAGTATATGACATCATTAGTCATTAGGGAAATGCAGATCAATAACCCCACAAGATATTACCTTCACACCCACTCCAATCAAAAAAGTAATGGCTACAATAAGAAAGGTAAACAGCAGGGGCTATGAATGTAGTTTAGTGGAGGAATGCTTACCTATTTCATGTGTGAGGTACAGGGTTCATCCTCAGCATTTATTATTTATTTAAAAATAAATAAAATAAAGGCATTATGTCCATCTATAACTAGAAAAAAAATTTCAAAAGAAAAATGGAAAAACAGTAACACAAGTGTTGAGGAAGATGTCATAAAACTGAAACCTTCATGCAGATTTGGTAGGAATGTAAAATGGGACAATCAACCTAGAAATAGGTCAGCAGATCTTCAAAATGCTAAACATCGTTATCATCTAATCTAGCAATTTCACTCCTGGAAACATATCCAAGAGAAATTTTATAATGTTCACACAAAAGTTTGTCTACAAATGTTCATATTAGTGTTATTTACAATAGTCACAAAGTAGAACACCTCAAATGTCTATCCACTGATGAATAAAAAAGCAAAAAGTGGTTTATCATAACAATGGAATGTTACCTGTCAAGAAAAAAAAAATTATGTACTGATTCATTCTGGATAAATCCTAAAAACATGTAAAATGAAAGAAGTCAGTGACAAAAAAATCACATACTTTATAATTCTACTTACATGAAATATCCAGAATAGGTTAAAAACCACAGACACTGAAAGTAGAATAGTGGTCCTGGGGCTGGGGTGGGCAGGGAAGGAGGAGAATGAAGAATGATTGCTAATGTATTCAGGTGTCTTTCTGAAATGTTACAAATGTTTTAGAAACATCTGTACAACACTCTGAACATACCAAAAATCAATGAAGTATATATTTTAAGTGGATGGTTATGTTCTTTTAGTTTTGTTTGTTTTTGGTACGGGGAACTAAATCCAGGGGGGTACTTTACCACCAAGCTTTATCCCCAGTCCTTTTTATTTTTTAATTTGAGACAAGATCTCACCAAGTTACTTGGGCTTTGATATATTGATGAAGCTGGTCTGAAACTTGTAATTCTTCTGCCTCAAGGTCTCTAATCTAAAGTCACTGGGATTACAGGCATGCACCATCATACCCAGCTTAACTGAATGAATTTTAAAACACAGCCCAATGAGCTGTTTAAAATTGATAATTTTTTAAGGGACTATTTCAGGTAAGCAATTCATTATACATGTCCACATATACAGAAATGTTACAAAATCCACTATGAGTTTCATTTTTCAACAGACTTTGGGGTTATTATAAATTCTCTGTGTTTCAGTGTCTCATTGCCAATGCATCATGGTTACTCTTCTACTGTCACAACACTTTTCTGTAATAGATTCCCTCATTCTCTTCCCAATATATGGCTTCTTTTTCAACTACGGACTAAAAATCAGATAAACAGGCTCTTTAAAACTTTAAGTTAAAACGGGTTAATGTCCCGAATGAAGGTTAAAGAATCAACATGTATGCACCCATTACCACAATGGATCGTAATATTTATTTCCAATGCTCAATTGCTTTTGTACTGAAGTATAGTTTAACTTCATGGTACAGATGTCTGATCTTTATGACTGTGTTTAAAATATAATACAAAGCTGGGTACATTAGCACAGGTCTGCTATAACCCCAACAACTCAGGAGGCTAAGGCAGAAGGACCACAAATTCAAGGCCAACCTGGGATATTAGGAAGACCTTGCCTACCCACACACCGAAAAATAAAAATAAATAAAAAGGGCTGGGGGTGTAGCTCAATGGTAGAGCCCCAGTGGGTTTAATCTCCAGTACTGGAAAAAAAAAAATAACAACAACATAATACAAAGGTAATTTTAGATAAATGAGTTGAGTCTCACATGTATCTAAGTAACTGAAATAGAGCACATTATATAATTTTAATATATATGTATATGGATATGTTGATGTGAACATGTGATTATGTGAATACATAAAAATATAAATTTATACATATATAAATATATAAACAAACACATACATACATCCAAGCATTTAGAATAAAAATCTACCCTAGGAGCTGGGTATATAGCTCAGTGATAAAGCACTCACTTAACATGTGTAAGAGCCTGGGTTCAATCCCCAGAACTGCAAAATAAAACAAGACAAAACACCGTGAAACTGCATGAGTTAGATATTAAAAAAAAAAAAAATCAGATATCACATAACACTATTTTCAAGACCAGAATCAGGACATGTTTTAAGTATAAAATGATGATTACATTAGGGAATGCTAAATAGGATTAAAAATATCTTGCTAACCTCTTACTGTAAGCTTGCTATATAGTTGTGAATTTACTTCTTTATCTCGCTGAAAACGCCGAAATTCATCAATTGCTTCCCGTGTGATAGTAACTGCCAAGACAAATCCCTATAAAACAAAATAAAATAAAGTATTTTAGAAAATAGAACTTTAACAACAACAACAACAAAAAAAAAAGCATGGGATTATTTTGTACTATTTATTATTACTTTTCCAATTTATATTATTCTCTGAAGTGTAAAATAAGTGAAAACAAGACAAAAAGAAACAACAAAGGCACTACAAAGGGAATATAACACCCAATAAAAGTGTTATAGCCCTTATGGTACCAAAAAAAATGTTTAAATTTGTATTATATGTATTCCAACACATATAACAGAAAATACTCAGTAACCTAAAGAGAAACAAAGAAACGATCTTCAGGAAAGCCATGAATTACATTTAGAACACTCAGGCATTCAAACAGCACATTAACAATGACTGACATGAAAACCTTAGAGCAATTTCCTCACTGGAATCTTTCCAGCAGGATCAGAGTATTTAGGAGGAGGAGAAGGTTCCAGCCATAACACCCACATTAATCAGCTTCCCAACAAATGCAATGAAGTACAGGTGCGGTTACAGTGCTTTTCCATCTTCAAGTGAAAATCTGCATCCCGAATTGGATGTTCTCTAAACAAAATTTTGACATTACCACAACCCAGCCTAATGATGACCTCCTCTTTGAAAAACTGCCTGTGTATCTCCCAATAAGTCCACCTCCCCAGTTAAAGAAACCTCATCAACAGGCTGCATATTCCTGATGACCTAGCTTCAACCTATGCTAGAAATAAGAAAACACTGGCTGGGCACGATGACACAGGCCTGTAATCCCAGTGCTCAGGAAGCTAAGGTGGGGGATCACAAGTTTAAAGTCAACCTCACCAAGTTAGCAAGGCCCTAAAAGCAACTTAGCAAGACCTGTCTCAAAACAAAATTTAAAAAGGTCCAGGAATGTGGCTCAGTTGTTGAGCACCCCTGATTTAATCCCCAGTACAAAAAAAAAAAGAAAGAAAGAAAGAAAACGCTGGATGAATTTCCATTGAAAGGTCAGTGATCCCGCATGAAAATAAATAAAGATATTGTGTCCGACTACAACTGAAAAATAAATATAAAATGGGGAGGGGTGCTGGGGTTGTGGCTCAGAAGTAGAACACTCGCCTAGCATGTGCAAGGCCCTGGGTTCAATCCTCAGCACCACATAAAAATACATAAAATAAAGACATTGTGTCCAACTACAACTAAAAAATAAATATTAAAAAAAAGTCAGCGATCTTTATTTCAACGGTTTTTTTTCCTCTTTATACCATTAAGCAGACCATTGAAGAATGTTTTCTACAGCCACTAAATGGCATTTTTTTGTTGAGTATCCTATTAAAAGCTTTCTGTGTGACATGACTTACGTCAGAGGGTGCACATGTTCTCTCTCCCCCAATCTCCATCTCGGTTTCATAAGTAGCTTCAGCCCTAAAACCATCCATACCTAAGAACACAAGCTTTCTCCTCCTTAGTATACACTTTGCACCACAGAATCCTCTCCATATCCCCTTCCCCTCAATTCACTTCAATTTCCTTTCCCCACCATGGACTCAAACCACCCTGGAAGAAGGTTGGCTTCCCGGCCACTGTCCACTGCTTCTTTCCTTTTACCCCTCCACCCCTTCTATTCTGGAAACTCCCTCCAGGCTACTTCTGGTATCTGTGCACTCTATCCAGTCGCCCCTGCATGCCTGGTCCTGGGACAGCCCAGTCCTCCACATAAGCTGCTACCATTGCCCATCAGTAGTGCTGAGATTCATTCCTCTAACCTTTGGCTGTGCTCCCCTAACTGCTCCAGCCTGGCCAGGCTCAGGTACTCCTCAGCGCTCCCCATACGCCTGCTGTGCCAGTGTCCCTCTCTGAGCCTGATCCCCTCACAAGCATGCTCAAGGGAAGAGAAGCTCCCCATTACTTACGGTCCTTTCACAGAAGTATGTCCCCAACCTGAAGATGGACAGATCCCTAGACCTGTCTCCCACTGAAGACTGCTTGACCCTTCGACACCAGCATCTATGAGCAATCTCCCACAATGTGACAGGTCTCACTGGACTTCCAGTACTTACTAGAAGCCCTATTTTGAAAAGGATCCTGAAGCCATTCTTAAACATGCTGAAAAAGAAGCCATGCGTTGTGCAACCCATTACTGGCCTGAACATAGCCACTGATGGGCAGAATCTAACCCACCTACACTCTTTTTTTTTTTTTTTAATATTTATATTTTAGTTGTAGGTGGACACAATATCTTTATTTCAGTTTTATGTGGTCCTGAGGATTGAACCCAGGACCTCACATGTGCTAGGCAAGCACTCTACCACGGAGCTACAATCCCAGCCCCCACCTACATTCTTAGCATATAATTCATCCTTCTTGTAAGTAACAGCTTTCTGTCATATAACATGCCATAAAACTCAACCCTTCTAATGTACACAATTCATTGTTTTTTAGTACTTTCACAGAATTATGCAACCACCACATCATCTAATTTTAGAATATTTTTTAGCATCACAAAAGAAACCCCCATACTTAGGAGCAGTCACCTCTTATGCCTCACCTATTCTGGTGACATGGTAACTTCATTATTCGAAAGAACTGCTGAACTGTTCTGCCAAGAGTTTAGCCCACTTTAAAACCCCACCAACTAAAAACGTGGGTCCCCTCACCACTGGCACATGCTCCTCTGCCTTGCTGACAGCAGCCATCCACTGGTGGTTTTAATTTTTACTTCCCTCACCACAGTGCTGTTGAGCATCTTTCCATGTGCTTACAAGCCACTTTGATTTATTCTTTGAGTAAATGTTTATTCGGATCGTTCATCCACTTTTTAACAGAGTTATTGTCATTTAGTTGCTGAGTTGTGTACTTATTCTGAATACAGATGCCTTGAAAAATATGTAATTTACGAATGTGACCTTATATTTTCTCCCATTAGGGCTTATCTTTTTACTTTCCTCATTGTGTCCTCTGATACAAAAAAAAAAAAATTAAATTTTGACCAAAACTCAGTTTTTGGTATTGAGGGTCACAAAGATTTTTACCTCTCTATTTTCTCCTAGGAATCTTATAATTTTAACTCTTACATTTATGTCTTTGATCCATTTTATTTTTTGTGTTCAATGTTAGGAAGGCGTCCAATTTTGTTCTTTTGCATGTAGATATTCAGTTATCCCAACATCATTTCTTGAAAAGACTATTCTTTCTCCATCAAACTGTGTTGGTAGCCTTTTTGAGAGTCAATCTATCATAAATAAAAAGATTCCTTTTGGACTCTCAATTCTATTCCATTGATTGTACACCTATGTTTGTATCATTATCACACTGTCTTGATTAATTCAGCATGAATATGGGGGAGTTTGAGTACTTCAACTTTGATCTATTTTTTCTAAGATATACTGGTTACTCTGGGTCCCCAGTATTATCATATCAACTTTTAGAATCAGCTTGTCAACTTCTGGGGGGAAAAAAAAAGCTGCAATTTTTGATGGGGCTTCTATTAAATCTACAGATGCTTTTGGAAAATGCTATCATAACAATATACTGTCTTGAACATGAGATGACTTTCCATTTGTTCAGATCTTCATTGATTATTTTTAAAAATGCTTTGCAATTTTCAGTAATTTCACACTTTAGCTAAGTTTATTTCTAAGTATTTTTTCTTTTTGATACTATCATAAATTGAATTGTTATTTTAATCTCACTTTAAGATAGTTATTCCTAGTATACAGAAATACACGATTTCTGTATATTTATCTTGTATTCTGCAACCCTGCCAATTCATTTTCTAATTATAATAGCTCTGTGTAGATTCCTTAAGTTTTCCTGTTTACAAGAATCATGCCATCTGTGAATAGATACATAGCTTTTGTTCTTTCTTTCAGTCTAAATGACTGATTTCATTTCTTACCTTACTATTCTATTCTCCAATAAAATGTTTATCTTCAATAAAATGTTAAATAGAAGGAATGGGAGGATAAGTCCTTGTTCGTGATCTTAGTGACAAACTGCTCAGCCTTTACTATTAAAAATGGTATTAATTGTGCAAAGTACAAAATTTTAAGAATAAAGATTTTTATATTATGACCAAGTGTCTCTATAACAGTAAAAAATGTACTACAAGGAATTATGTGCTAGTTTTCCATACCTGACAACTTGTCATGACTAAGTATCAATGAAATAAAAGTGGTTCCCAAAGAACCCATTAGAGACTGAAAAAAATAACTAAATTCATTACTTTATTCTAAAGTCAAAGCAAAAAAGAAGAAAATATTAAAAGTGAGACCAGCATATACCTACTCGCCCACTACCCAAAAAAGCTTTAAGAAATATAGTATTTTCAAAAGCCTTTAAATTTATACATATTTGGCTAAGCAGTTTAACTTTTAGAAAATCATCCCAAAGGAAAAAAAAAAATTCAAGTATCCCAGCATGAATATGAAAAACTAGAAACAACCTGAATATACACAAAAAAGAAATTAATGGTACACTCATGAGGAAATACTTCCTTGACTCAAAGACACCAGCAGTTTTGAGATGCACAGTTATTTTAGTAAGTTTTTTGGGAGAAGACAATCCCATTATAGATACATGCATTGCCAGTCACGGCTCCATTTCAGTAACGTGAGATAATATGCATCTCTGACTCCAGAAACTAGATTTCTATGCAGTCATTCCCACACAGGAGAATATTTGCAATTAGACCATTAGGAGAATATTTACAATTAGAATATTTACTATTCATGATATAGAAGTAATTTCTTAAAGTTCTGTTTGTAAATGAGCAAATGCCAAGTGCATTTTATCTACAGATTGTAAACAGTGTTTCAATCAGGAGAATATTCATAATCACCTGGGAAAATTTTCTGAAACACAGATTTGCTCAGGCCCTATTTGAAATGTGTACCTTTACTTCTAATCTCCAGCGAACAGGTTCTAGACACACATGTTATTTAAACTCTCCAGGTGGCTCTACTTTTCATTTCTTTAAACTTATGGCTTAAAGGCAGCAAAAGTTAACTCTGAATTCAGTAAGTAAC